AAGGGGGGAGTGAGAGGGGGAGATTGCGGGCTGTTTCGCCCCACGAGTTGACGAATTCCATGGCGCCGATTCCGTCGAACATGCAGTGGTTCATGGCCAGGCCCAGGATGAAGCCGCCGCATTTGAATTTGGTCACCTGCTCATAAAAAAAAAATGAATTTTTTTCAAGAGATTAACATTAAAAAAAATTTAAATGATAATAAAATGTTTCGAAATCAATCCGTCTTCAAATTCTTGAATGCAGTTAAATTAGTATAGAAGTCTGCATCACTTTAGGTTTAATGCAGTTAAATTACCGCGGTGGTTGGGAAAAGGAAGCCCGGCCCTGGGGAGCCAACCACATGCATTTATAACGTCACTAGGTAATAAATGATGGGTAAGGTCTTTGTTGGTCCGGGTAATCCGATCGTCGCCTACACTACTCTTTGCGGATAGATATGAGGTTTGCATGGACATGCTCGCCATTCAAATCGGCATGAATTATTTTAAAAAGAATGGAAATTTAATTCTTATTTTTAAATATTAAATAAATTATTGGATGTCGGGCATTGACATATATATATCACAAAATTTTTATATATTACACAATTTTTTATATCACAAAAAAAAAGATCTTTCTTGTATAAATAAAATGCTATAAATAAAACTAAAAGCTTAAGACAAATCAAACAAAATATAATATTATTTTAAGTTAGAAACCACAAATAATAAATATAAGAAAGATCAACATTAATTTTACTTATTTCACATTATAAAATTATAAAATTTTAAGTTGATTGTTAGTTATTTTTTATGCATGCAAATTAAACTAAAAAAAATACTTGGATTCATTAATTGTTATATAATTGATTTGGTTCTTTCAAATCATACCAATTTGACTAAACTAAATTTCGATTGATTTGATTTTCTTAAACAATGACCGTACATCTTTATATACAGACACTTGATTCATTCCTCGATATGACTTTATTAAAATGTATGAAATAATTGTTCATCTGCATATACATATCAATAATTTAGATGTCAATTTTGTGAATAATAAAGTTTCGAGTGCTATTCGTGTAATTATACCAAATATCATAGGTGTAAAAAAAACAAATAAACAACCCCCCGACAAAAAAAAAATCTGCCATTACAGAAAAAATAAATGAGGATGGAAACATTAATGCTGTAGAACTCATACAAACGAGGGTTGGAGTACAAATTTGGTTCTTATAATATTAAAGTCAGCATGCAGTGATTTTTTTATCGTTTTAGATCAACTGCTATGAATTAAATTTGCTCACGCAATTAAGATTTTCTCATAAACTTTTGGGTGTTGGATATGTAAATATGTGAGAATTATGTGGTAAGAATGTAAATTGCCTTATTTTAAATACATTTAGTTTTAGTTTAGTAATTTTTTATTCTATCTTAATAAAATAAATACGATTATGAGATGCTAATTGAAAGTTTCTTCCTCGAAACACTACAAAGCTATTCAATGCAGTCAGAGAGTCAGAGACTCGATTTGTCAAATAAATATGAAGATCAATAAGATTATGAGAAGTATAAATGACCCGAATAAAATAAATCTTTATAGGATAAAATAATTTCATCTTAAATATATAACAAATTTAATATCATTTTAAGATTCAAATAACTATTTTACAAGTATTATATAAAATTTATATTTTTTATTGTAATAACTTATCATACATATTTATTGATTAAGATTTATTGAGTTTATTTGGAGTCAAATTTCAATAAAACTTGACAATCTTATTGTTCTGAATTTTTTGGATCATTTAAATATAATTTTACAGCATTAATAATATTTTATCTAAAATATATTTTAAAAAAAATTTCACTACGTTTGAACAATTTTCATAAAAATTCATTTCTAACTAATAATTGAAGAGATATATCACAAATTTATATAATAATTACAATCTAAAAATATACCTAAATTCATTATTCAACATAAAACAAAATTTATAGGCTCCCTCGATCATTTTAAATAATTTATCATTAATACTATTTCATATAATCTAAAAACTATACATTCTATAAATAACTATAAAGATTAAAATAAAAATAAAAACTAACCAGCTTTTCCTGGCTGATGTATAATTAATCTCTTCCTTACCTGAGCAGCCATAGGAGGTATATCCAGTATGCTCTTAGCACCAGGAACATTGTAAACAAGCTTGCCAAGTGTAGCCGGATCAGGCTTCGCGATATCGCCGATATCCGCCATGTCGCAGTCTGCCTCCGCCTCAACATAGACGGCGCCGTCACCGGTGCAGTCCACCACGAGCTTCCCCTGCTCGCTTATCGTCAGCCGTCCGGCCAACGGATAGTAATGAACCAAAACCTTAGCCAACGCATCCTTTATCACCTCAGCAGCTCTCTCGTTCCCCTGCTCCTCTGATTTAAAACAGTAGATGGTTTGAACTATAACGGCTATATTCTGGTCCAGATTCGACAATATGTAAAAACCCTTCTCTGTTTCCTCAGCAGGAGGGACTAGAGTCGGCTCCCCCTGTTTCACTTTGAGCTCGAAAGCGTTGCCATTGGTGTTGCCGTTGTTGTTTCCATTCTCTGTAATAGCCATATATGCTCTGTTCTCAACCTGGAAGATCGATGTAGATAACAAGTTGCGTTAAGTGGATTAAGATATTTCTAAGGATTCAATCTTGATTAATGGGAATGGGAAAGACTTACTGGAAGGAGATGAGGCACAGGAGATTGAAGAGTTGGAGGCGGTTTGGGGAGGGAGAGGAGTGGAAGAGGGATGTATTTAAGTGAAGAGAGAAGGAAGGGGTACTTTCAAGACTGTTATGAGTTGGAGACCAAAAGCCCTGGAGATATCTTTTGTTTAGATTGGAAGCATAGAGAAGCGAAGGTGATGAAAGAACCTTGGACTTGGTTTTCGTTTTTTGCGCGCGTTTGGGTGGAGTTGGCAAGGGGCAGATGACCTAAACGTCACCAACAATAAGATTTTTATATTGTGGGTTTGGAAGATAGGTGAGGCTGGCCTCCCACTTTCAATTGATCTTAGGGAATACATTTAAAATATATATTAGTTATATAAAATATTAGTTTCTGGAGGGGTTTGCTACATTTAATCGCAGGAGCTCGCAGCAAGCATTTGGAGATCTTCGGTTGAACGAAAATGTTGTGAAGGTGAAGGTTTTTATTTTTTTATTTATTTTTTTTTTTTTTGCCGACGAGGAGTTGAAAATCTGATTAAAAGTTTATTTTTTTAATTTATTTTTTGCGGGGGAAAGGAGCCGACGTGGTTATAACTTTTTTTTTTAATTTATTTTTTTGCGGGGGAAAGGAGCCGACGTGGTTATAACGTGAAGTCAACTATTCTTAATACTGCAATTTATTTGCGTTGAGTTTGCAGTACGATTTTATTTGCCAGCCGAAGAGAGAGTTTTTTAAGTTAGCGATGGCATGAAGTTAGATTTAATTTATCATTAAATATCTCCGGTATATAATCAGCTTTGAATCAAAACAATGACTAAAAAAATTGATATAAATAAGCCTTAAATTTTAATATTTTTTTACTCGAAATAAATAAATTATGATATATGAAAGTTCAAATATTAATTTAGGGATTCGACAAATCATATTCCTCACTTTGTAATAAAAAATTTGATAAGTTCTTTATAATGTTAAAATGGTCAATATCTATGTTCAGATTATATCAAAAAAGCAAACTCATAAGTCTTACTTTTAGAAAATTCTCAACTGCAGCGGAAGAAAGTTGTTTTAATTGAAAGGAGAGCACATATACAAATCAAAGTGCAAGAAAAATAAAATTTTTGTATGAAAATCCCGAAATTTGAGAAATATGTTATAAAAACAATATACCATATTTCAATTAAATTTTTGAAGTAACAGATTCTCACCATTCAGGATCTCAAGATATGACATGGATGTCAGCGAGGTCTTTTGAGCAAGAAATATTTAAACTTCTATATAAAGTTATACAAAGCTCTGATTTCAGCAAACTTATAGTTCAACTGGCCAGCTCGACTCGACGAACCCAATGGTACAAAAATTGGTCCAATCCAAACCAAATCGCATTGACCAAGCCATTAAATGGATTTTGGAAGCTTTCACGGCATATTCGGAAGGTCAAAATAATATCAAATCTGAAGAGCTTATACTCGAATGGAGTGTATTGACAAGACGAATCCAACTGGCCCAAAATTGTTCAATTATGATATTATTAACACACTCAGATGTCAATCAAATATCGTCTAATTAAAAAAATTTCTCTGAGTCGTTCGATCAAAATTATTCATATTCTTTAATTAATTACAATCTGGATTCTAAAAATAGAGTTTTACCCCTCTCATTTATATATATATATATATAACAGATGTTTTGCTAATCAAAATTGGCTCTCTTTTTATGGTTTTTCTCAGGTTCAACATCTTTCGAGCTCGGGCTCGGATCACAAACCGTTCCTATTTTCTTTTGACTTCTTTAAGAAAGCTACTACTTATCACTTTCGCTATTTTAATGTTTGGTCTAAGCATGAGGATTTTTTAAGACTTGTTGCTGCTAATTGAAATATTGCTGATGTTGGGAGTGCTTGGTTCCGACTTTGGAAACTTCACAAAAAGGTGGCAAGTGCTTTTAGAGCTTGGAGTTGGGAGGTGTTTGGTGATGTTCATGCTAGGGTGGTTAAGGCCGAGAGCATGGTTCAACATCTTCAGGCTATTGATGAATCTTCTAATGATGTGGTTTCTCAATTACAAGATGCTCATAATGAACTCCTTGTTGCATCCATTCATGAGGAAGAGTTCTTGCAACAAAAGGCAGGAAAGGTACATTTTGTTCAAGGTGATAGGAATACAAAATATTTTCATGCATGCATAAAACAACGTCGTTCGAATAATACTATTATTCGCATTAAAGATGAATGTGGTAATTGGATTACGGGCAATCGAGATCTGGGAGTTAGTGTTGTGCAATATTTTCAAAATCTGTTTCTCCCTTCTCAAAATGTTGGCACCATTGATAGTGCTCTCTTTAATGATGTACAAGATTACACTGAGAATTTAGAGCTCTGTGATATCCCAATTGCAAATGATATTTTTCAGATTCTTTCTGAGATTAATTGCAATAGAGCTCCAGGACCAGACAATTTCACCTCGGATTTCTATGTGAGCTAGAATATTATTCAGAACGATGTGGTGAAAGCCATTCATAGTTTTTTTAAGGGTGACACCCCTGGGAATTATTTTTCCGCTGCCACGATGGTCCTTATTCCTAAATCTAACAATAAATCTATGTAGGAACATTTCCGTCTGATAGCTCTTACTTATGTTATTTCCAAGGTTATTAGCAAAATTCTGGTTAAGCGGCTCCAACCTCATCTTAATCAGATCATTTCTCACAACCAATCCGCTTTCATTCAAGGTAGGGGAATTACGGATAATATTATGCTTGCCCAGGAATTACTCCTTGACATTGATAGGAAATGTCATGGTGGTAATATGATTACTAAGTTGGATATTCGTAAAGCTTATGATTCTCTTAATTGGGAATTTATTTTAGGCATTCTCAAAGCCAGGGGTTTCTCTACCTCGTTCCGTTATATTATTCATAATTGGCTCAAGTCTAATCAATATAGTATCCTCATTAACGGAGAATTACATGGTTTTATCATGGCCGGTCGTAGGACTTTCAATTGTTTTCGGGACTACACTTTAATGCTACTAAATGTAATATCTATCTTGATAAGTTGGTAAACAACTGCACTGCTACTTGGGCTACTAATTTTACTGGTTTCTCCATTTCGAAGTTTCCAATTAAATATTTGGGTGTCAACTTAATTAAGAGCATAATTCGACAGTCCCAATTGGATGAATTGGTGGATAAGATAAGGAAACATATGCTTGATTGGAAGAGCAACTTCTTGTCTTTTGGAGGCCGTATCACTGTGTTTAGGAGCATTGTGCAGAGTATGCCCTTATATGCATTGCAAGTTCTTCATATAAAAAAAAACACACAAAAGATTCTTGAACGGTCTTTTAATAATTTTTTGTGGGCGGGATCTCATTCGGGTAAGAAGTGGTGCTCTTGGAAGGTAATTTACAAACCTACTTCGGCGGGAGGTTTGGGGTTCAAGCAGCTTCATCATATTGCTGAAATTAATTTATTTAAACATTGGCTTAATTTCCGGAGTGGTAAATCTTTATGGGCAAGTTATTTACATGAAATGTACTGTAAACATTTTCACCCTTCTTCGGTGGTTTGGAGGAAAGGGGATTCCAGGTTTTGGAAGAGGCTTCTTCAAGTTAGGGAGTGGGCCAAGGATTTTATTTTTTGGGATCTTGGGAGCGGTAATGTTTCCTTCTGGCATGACTCTTGGGCTCAAATTAATTTTTCTCCTGGGGTTGATATTCATAATGATCTCCTTGTTTCTGATACTTGGCTTAATAATTCCTGGAATTTCCCTCTTCTTACTCAGTTAGTGAGGGCTGAAAATGTTACTTAAATTTCTACTATTAATTTTGATTCCCATAAACAAGATACTCCTATGTTAAAGATGCATCCCGGCAGCTCTATTACAAAAACGATTTATGACTCCTCAAACCGTTTTCAGCCAACTACATGGGGGGACAGTTTGTGGAACCATGCACTAACACCTTCTATGTCTTTCTTTGCTTGGAGAATTTTTCATCGCTTACTTCCTTGTGACGATATCCTGAAGCTCAAGGGGTTAAGGTTAGCTTCTTGTTGCTCTTCATGCAACAATGATGAGGAAACTTTGGAACATTTATTTTCCACTTGCCCATTTTCGCTACAAATTTGGAAATTGGGAGGTCTTTGGTTTAGCACTACTGTTTATCGAGCCACATATTTGATTTCCACTACTTTTTTGTGTAACCCGGATCGAAGGCATAACCATTTTCTACACATATATCTTTATATTATATGTTGGTTCATTTGAATGACCCGGAACGATATTAAACATGCTAATAGTAAACCTCAATGCTCAAATGTGATCTCTAATATTCTTTCTTATGCTCTTAAAATTTACAAGTTCAGTGGTAATAAGGATAATTTCTTCTCGGGTAATATATATTTTGACTCTCTTCCTCACCCTCTACAGAGTAGGTCGCTTTCCAAACCAACCTTGGTGAAGTGGCAACCGCCCCCCATGGGAAATTAAAACGGATGGTAGTTGGAATCAAAGCAGTGCTGGTTTTGGGGGAGTTGTGCGTAACCACAGTGGTCGCTGCTTGCTATTTTTCTCTTCTCCAAGCATTGCAGACTCTACTGTAGAGTCTGAAGCTCACACAATTTTAATGGCAGTCACTATTGCGGTCTCTTTGAATTGGTCTAATATTTTGATCGAGACCGACTCTAAGATTCTTTTTGAGATGTTAAATCAAGGGAGACTTGTCACTTTTGTCACTTGGGATGTTGCTGTCACTTGGGATGTTGCTTACCATATTAACTGTATTATTCGATTATTCTCTACAGTTTCGGTTCTTTGGAGGTTTATTCATCGCAAAGGTAATAGGTAGGCTAATTGGGTGGCAAAACGCAGTGCCTCCACCTCCACGATCTTAGTCGATACGGTGCCTCCCTCTCCTTTACAGGTTTTACTTCATGGGGATTTAATGGCTGCATCTTATCTTAGGAATGTTAATAGCTGATTGGTTTAATGTATTTATTGCTTATGGATTGGTTTCCACTTGCTTTACAGAGATGTTTCAATTTTCTCGGTACTATTTGCTGGATTTTCATTTTTCGGTACAGAAACTATACTGGGTTTGGAGTGGCGTGATTTTTTTCTCCTCCCTCATACATTCCAGATATTTGGATCTTATTTTCGGTGCAGGTTTCGATGTATGTTTATGCAGGATCTTGATGATGGCTCTATCTTGATGATGGCTCTATCTTGATGATGGCTCTTGGCTTAAT